TGCGTATCAAGTTTTGTAGGCCGTATAATCTTGTGATATTTATTTGCAGTACAGTGTCTGTGGCAGTTGTTGTACTGTATGCTTTGTAGTGAATAGGAAGCTCAACCGAGTGTTGCCCATCCAAGGTCAAAGCTATCGAACATGTAAATCTTATCATTGAATTAAAGCTGAGTAGAACAGCGTCACGAACCATGAACAATATTGCAGGTTCAAATCTCACAACGGAAATTCGAGGTGCAGTATAAATCCACATAGGTCTCACTGGCTTAAACTGAGTGCGATGAACAAACTTACCATGATATGAAACTCCATTTTTTAGGGAATAACACATGTGCTAACTCAGTAAAGGTACTAGATGAGAAAATATCTAATGCAAAAGGGTCCTTCGCGTCACAAAAGTAAAAGGGATGGAACGGAAACAAAAGAACGGCAATTGAACATAATGGCTCGCACAAACAGAAATCATGTAGAGTGTGACTGATGGAAGTGGAACGTCTCAACGCAGGGTTGCGAGGAGCAGATATAAACAAGTCTCCATAGGCAATTAAGTTTCCTTGAGGGTATATAGTCAAGTTTTCTTGCGGGTTTATAGTCAAGTTTCCTTGCCGGTTTATAGTCAAGTTTCCTCGGGGGTTTATAGTCAAGTTTCCTCGGGGATATATAGTCAAGTTTCCTCGGGGATATATAGTCAAGTTTCCTCGGGCAGTTATCGTTAATTTCCCATGGGTAGTCAAGTTTCCAGGTATAGGGGGAGTGTTGATGCTAGACGTGTTGGGACGATCAGTGTTGATACGTAACGACGATAAGAAAATTACATACCAGAGAGGGGCAGTGGAGCATGAGTCCTGTTAACGTCTGTTAAGTACAACTTTGAGTTAATAACGAGGGGATACGCACTACAATATAACCATAATTCACAGTGCAAGAAGACTGGTTGCGAGAAGATTCTGAGCCAGTTCTATCACAAAAACATAGACAACCTCAGTAAAAATCGACAACGAGGAAAATACTACATACTGATATTGATAGGGGGCATGAGGCTCTGGGAAAAAAAAAAGTCAGAATATGCGAGTCAAAGCCATTGTTACATATGTATATGCACCAGTCATCCGATATCCGAAACATTCTGTGACCAAGACAAAAAGTACAAGGACAAATAGAACCGATACATTGACGTATTTTTGAGGCGCAGTCATGCTGTTTTGAAGTCTTGAGGTTGCGCAAATGGTTTGACAGAGGGGCGTGCAGCGGGCGATGGAAAAAGTCGTAGGTGATGGGCAAACGGCAAACGGGACGAGAACAAAGGCTGTTGCTACACGTGGCTGGGCACCGCAACCAATTAGCACATGACAGTCCGGATGAAATCGGAAATAGTACGGAATGAGATCAATTGATTATATGATGGCCAAATGGGGATTGTACATGGCAGCTGCACAGCCACCAGTGCGAGTCAACTTTAGTAAGGATTTAGTAAGGACGAGTCCTCCTAAACCTCATAATTCCTCCTCCCTCCTTCTCTGTAGCTCAGTGCACAGTTGGAGACTTCACTAACATGTATGCAATACATCGACAGCTCATTTCCCCCGAGTCCCTCTAGCGTAATAAATATAATTAACCATACTCAAAGACTTTAATGTCAAGTGCCTTGAGTGATGTAAGTACTGTACTATTACGACCAAATGTTCGCATAACGCATAATGCCCCCCCCTCGAACATCAGTGATTTTATATTTAGTAACGCATAACGGAGGGTTCAGAACACCTACCTAACAATGCCGTCACGCGGCCCAAGCTCGGATCAGCATAATAACCTAATTTTTCGTGGCGGCCTTCGGCCGCACAGCATCGCATAACGCATAACATCACCCCCTGAACACCTCATCCGACCAAAATATCCCGTAACGGTCAACATGACCGAACTTTTGGTCGTAATAGTACAGTAATGTCAGAGTAGAGCTAGAGAGCTTTCCAGTGGCCATAGGCAATTGTTATTGTCTTAACATTAACACAGCAAACACCAGTTCTACTGCCAAAAATTGGAACAAACTCATATAAATGCAGGTCATTTAACTAACTTGGACTTCAGTCTTACACCTGGACTTGTTATGTGAGACATTTCAATTCTTTGTGGAAACAGCAGACTCTGAAATAGCCTTCCAATGTGGACCCTCTTTAAATTCATTCAATTACATATACAGGATGGCCTCAATATATATTCTATGGACATAGCTAATATGGTGATACAGCTATCAAATGTAAGTATTGTTAGTCTGGATATTCAAGACTAGTTTTGATCTAGTTACAGGAATTCCTGAAAATAATGGCAATCACGTTTTTTTTTTCCGCAAGATACTTAATATGGCATTTCTTCACTATTCAAGTACTCAGACCTTGTGTCACCCTCCGCTCTTGCTTGGTTCCTCAGAAAATGCTTCAGTTGCTTTTGATCATTCATGGAAACCTGCAAATAAGATCAGACCTCATAGAAGATGCCTTGCACGTGTGGGATCACTGGGAACAGCCCGATCAGTATTTGCACAGCATTGGTTGATTTGCGGCACATATACACCATTGTGTTTGAAGATCTGGGTCTATCAATGGGCCCTTTCGATCCTACAATATTTTTATAGGCAGAGTTTACAGTAGTGAAGCAAGAAGACTTGCACCCAAACACTTTGGTGCCCTAAAAAGGGCAGCTACTAGCTGAACTACCATTTTAGGTATCTCACGGGAAAAAAACGTGATTGCCATTATTTTCAGGAAACCCTGTAATGACAGGTACAATATTCAATACAGGAACTTTACCACTAGCACTAGGCTTCAGCCTATTTTATTTCAGTACTTCATCAGTGCTCTATCTTGATTCAAATATAAGTATACCATGCTTTGACTTCCTTAGATCATTCTTGTCTGTATTGGTATTGCAGTGAGAAACACCAGCATTACTGGGAACCAGAAAATAAATCAGAATCCCAAAAGACATTCATTCATGATATCATCCATTGAGAATTCTGAATAATTATGCTGCCAATGGTGATCCACCTGATTCTGGAAGGTACTGCTACCAGTCAGACTTGGAGTGTACTGCTTGATCCCTCACCATGAAGGCCGAGTGATCCTGGGTGGCTGGGCCGCACCCAACTTGGAAGGCACAGTATTTTTGGCCACCACTGTAATTTCAGCTGTTTGCAAAATCAATGAGAGTTGCAATATATGTAAGTAGTATAAGTATGTATATGTATCTTTTCAAGAAAAACGTGTGTTCACCGTTGCCTCACCTCAGAAAAAATTACTTTAACAGCTTCAACAACATGCACGCAAACTCCTTTTAGATGATTTTACATATACTGAAACCAACCTAGATGCAAAAATTGACCCAGATGCAAAGAAATCTTATAACTCAGTAGTATTCTTTTGTTACAGGCTACTTACTTTTATTTTGTGGTACCTTGAACTGTTGCATATCCATACATGTTAGCTAATCTCTGTAAAAAGAAGACTGTTCCAGAAGGCAGATTTTTAGCATCTGGGTCAATTTTGCATCCAGGTTAGCTTCAGTACTTATCAAAATCTCCAGCTGTCATTAGGTTTGCAAACAGCGGTAAGCACTAGCTTATATGTGACCGAATCCCTACCATGCGAAAAAGTAGGCCCAATCCTTTTTGGGAGGGTTACCTGAAGGCTACATAGCTAAGGGAGATTTAGAATACCCATAATCCCACACTATACTATCATTATATAATTCCAACAAGGTAATATACTGCTTGGTATTGTTCTATGCTGGCTTTGATTTTCAGGTGCTAATACAGGACGGCAATGCCCATATGCATGGCCTCGCGGTCCACCGTGCATATGGGATAAATTACTGGTAACGATTACAGATCTGACTTATCTCATTTCTCCATCCAGAAATTCTAAAGGAAGTCTTCTTGGATGGTGCTTTGGTAAAAAAATATTTCTGAACTCAAAATTTAGTGATGTACCTATCCACTGATCTCACTCCAACAGGAGAACATGTCGGTACCTGTGTTGGTACCGGGTGGAAGGTAGCTATATTAAACGGTTTGCTTGTTATAATAACAGCCAGTTAGCCCAGTTGTTGTATTGGTACAGTAGGTTACGAGTCTATGGATTTGATTAGCCTCGCATGAGTTCGAATCCCTGCAGTTACAATACTGAAAAAAAAAAGGATCGGTCCATTCAAGCGATTGAATGGTCTTTTCCTTATTTTCCCGCGTGCAGCCCCAGCCATCCATTATATTGCCTTATGACCGCCGTAATCTTATAAGGAAGCCGTTCCTTATACAATTTCCTCGCTTGCATAAGGCAGCATAAGGGCACAATTAATTATGGGCATTATCAGCGCTTGCGGCCGCTTATGCCGTGAATTTACTTTTTCCGACATCTGTTTTATATATCCTCGTCACTTCATCTTTTGCTAACTCCGTTTTAGAAGGATCTTGCCGACGTTGCCGTTGCTCTTAGCCCCTCAAAGTCTGTACAGAAGCGTCTCAGGTATTTCTAGATGATGATGATGAGATCGGACATCAGGATTCTCGTCCCAGACTTTCAAATTAATAGTTTTTTCTGGCATCGAGTTCCGTAGGACACACCTGTTTACAGTCATTCCAAAGCTAGTGTACTTGATATTTCCGACTCTTGATTTACTTTTGTTACATATAAATTGACTTTACTTTGTCAATGTGAAAATGGTTTTGTAAACAAAAAGTCTAATGCCGAGCATCTCTTAAGTAAGATGTAGTTTAGTATTAAAAAGGTTCGGCTTCTGCCGCTTGCGGCCATACCCCCCAGTCATACATATCCGCTGATAATTCCGTTCGGTCTGCAACGAGACACGGGTGTTATAAGTATGTATCTATGGTATGATGTATCAATGTACTTACATGGCATAAATATACGTCCATCTGTTCTTGCGTTCACAGTAGTAGTGATCTATAAAATAGTAAGAGCAAAATCACATGAAAGACTAGAAGAACCTAATTCCATCGCGGGGAATCGAACCCCGGGCTGCTGTGTTATATGATCTGGATGAAAGACAGCAATGTTAGCCACTACACCACGATGGATAACGTTACGGAAATGGTGCAATCATGCTAGCTTGTAATAACGTAGTAACGGAATAACATGATTCCGTCCGAGTGTTGATCGAAGGAAAAAAAGATGACGCTGCCGGGTGGCTATGCAAAATTTAGAACCGGGGCCCGTGTGGGATGGCCAGAGCCAAGCGAGTCTCGTTCTTTGTAAGTCTGGACTCCGGTTACCTGATTGGCGTAAAAAGCTGGGCAGGTTGTCGAGAACAACGGATTACTCTGACCGTGTCGCTCGTTTCTTTATATAACTGTGAGGAAACCTCAAAATAAAACTAAACTCGTTTGAGAAGTAAAAGATAAGTAGGTCAAATTCAGCGAAAGCTAGAACTATGAAAATACAATGGTAAGTATCAGTATTTATACTAGGTTCATCACCCTTTACCCTAGCATGACGACTCTCTGCTAGAGTGAGGTTTCCGAACTTATATCTACTTGTAAGTAGGATGTATCTAATGTCCGAGTATCATTATGAAGTGGCTATGGCGTGAGTATCTAGTATTAGGCGTGGTAGACTACTGTTATGAGGCCGGAGTTTACGGAGGTCTCGTCCTTACTTAACTCGAACCGGCTGCTGGAGTTTCATGCGTATACCCATATAGTTAATCGGTGATCTTATCTATACCAATCAGGTGATGGGCAGTGTCTGGACCATCGTCATCATCCATGAGTCATCTCGAGATAATTTAGATCATCCGAGTTGTGCGCAAAAAATGCTCGTCCTCTGTACTTACAGGAACTGACGACTGTAACTCCAGATGCCGGCCTCGTACCTGCCACGCGCAGCGATGGCCCAATCCTACTTAATTTGTAATGAATAATTAATTAATGTGTCAATCGTTCGTAACATCACCTCCCCCGCCCCCCCCTTAAGACTGTCCTCGACGAGTCCCAAGTTTGGGTCAAATAAACGTCCTTTGGTGGCTTTTCGAAGTTGTTCCGTTCCTATTTCTGTAAAGTTTTCTACATGTATAAATTTTAATCTAAGTCCTTTGTCCCCTAAGTATTTATTTACGTGGTCTGTCTTGTATAAATCAATAGTATTGATATTGACCCCATGTTGATTGACATGAGGTCCTCGAGAAATGTCAGAGTATGGTCGTGGCATCAGCGGGTTCTTTTTATGGAATTCCGCTAAATTCTCTACTTGTAATGCCGGATGTGCAATGGATTCCCAGGTAGGTTCTGAAATTCCCTTCCATTTGACTTGGTATTCGACTTTTCCTTTATTGACTCTGGATCTGAGAATTTCTTCTTGTATGTCCTCGGGTCCTGCTTCTCCACTTAATACTTCCAGCATTGGCCTGTCAACTAGTGTTTGTGTTGAGGCTGAGGGTTCTATATACGGCTTGAGTAAGAACTCATTAAATACATCATGAATTCTGCGCCTGCGCCATGAGCTCGGGATTCGTAGTTTGTACGATGCTTTTCCGATTTTGTTGATAATTTTAAATGGGCCGAAATATTTGTCATCTAACTTTTTGGATAATTCGATGGTTACAATATTTCGGCCATCCAAAAGTACCATATCTCGAGGTATGTATTCCTCTGACTCCCGTCTGCTTTTATCATAATACTTTTTCATTTTTTCCGCTGCGTTTTCCAACTGTTTTCGAGCTGTATCCCTAGCTTTTGCCGTCTCGGCTGCCATTTTATCCACTACTTCATTTCTACTTGATCCGGAGGGTTCTCGTCCTAATTTGGGATGATACCTGTGGTCTAAAAAGAAGGGGCTATATCCGGTCGAGGATTGTTCTTGGGGACTATATGTCAATTCCGATCCTGAGGAGTTCTACCCAATTGTTTTGGTGCTCGTTGACAAACATTCGAAGGTATGTTTCCAATTCTTGATTCTGTATGACCCCAAGACTAGAATTTGAAAGGCGGACTTGGAAGAATTTTTGCCATACGAGTGCGTGGTAATCTAGTCACATGCACATCCCGGTCAAGCTGATGCCGAGTTCCGAGTATTTCAACCTAGTCATGTGTTGTCTTTGTAATTGAGTGCTTATGACATCAATTGTCCCTTTTTTTCCCTTGGAGTAACGTTATATACCTGCGCCGCACTGACAAGGTCACCACGACATGAGAAACCCGTGGTCTGTGCAAGGGATTGGGACCTTGCCTAAGTTGAGACATAGTAGCATAAGTAGCATAAACATAGAGGTAAGTATTGCATAATTTTATAAAACATAGAAAAAGCACAATGGACAGTACAGGACTCCCCGGGGAAATGCATTTACGCATGAAGTGTGGGACTCAGAGTCTCCCCGGGGTGTAGAACATCCTACCTCCCTCGGGGGCCCGTTCGACGGTGCAAGTGACAGCAGCAAGTCAGACTGTATACCCACTAAAACCCCGGATTTTGTAACCCGGCCTTTCCATGTGGCCTTGACGAGATTTGGACTAACACCTTTCTTTCCATATTTCCCACTCGCCATCCGTCTATCAAGCTGCAGACGTTCATTTATCATGTACTAGGTCCATCTATTCACAATTTCTTGTCCAGTGAAGGCTGTATTGTCATTTTGAATAACTCGTTCACATCAAAGTCTCCACACCAAACCCGCTGATTCTCCAACCAATATGTTTCATAAACGTTCACCACCAGTGTTTCTCTTTCCAGCTCGTGTCTTGAGATTTGCTAGACCTGCTCCTATTATTACACCTAATCCTGGGCATTCCCATTCTATCATGGAATTCTTTCTTGACCATAGACTACCTGATAATTCCCAAATAAGTTCTTGTCCTACACATTCACAATTTGCGAGAATATGAGTAATATCTTCTAATTTATGGTCATGTTGACATACTGTACCATTTCAATCGATTCGATAGGGGGCGTGACCCATGACCTCGCAAACGAAATTTTTTCCTCGATAATGTGCTTGGGACACCGTGACACTAGGAAAATTTTTCAATAAATTGGTGAAAAATGACAAGTTTTTGGCCATTTTGGGCCGTGTCTCGCTGGGACATTTCGATAAAAAGGATTGGGACACCGTGACAATGATGAATTTTCAATACAATAAACTGGTCCGTGATGCGTGAATATCGAATCAATTGAAATGGTACAGTATTGCTCTCTGTTTTATTTCTTCATTATAATTTGTTCATTGCCAGTGGCTTCCAGTCATATATGCATTGTTTGTGATCATCCACAAGAAATATCTTGTTTTCCTTTCTAAGTTTTTAGACTGGATTGACTTCCATATTGCTGCATCAGTTGGCCTATAGCTGAATATTTGTGTCTTTACAAGATCCAAATTGGTACGGGTACACCTTCTTTCTATCAACTTTTCTGCTTTTGTTTTTCTTATAGCTCAATATAAGGCTTGACACAGATGCATCCGCGGATATCCGTCATCCGAACCGGCAGGTTTTTTCATGTAAAAAATCTCTATCTGCATCCGGGCCTATCCGGACCAATAGATACCGGCATCCGGGTCATCCGACCGGCAGGTATCCACAGATGCCGAATTATCTACATCTGCAGCTACTTTAACCCTGCAGGTATCCAATATCGCTCTACAAATTTTATTCATATTGCATTTATTACAGCCATATATAGGTATATATTATGATAAAACACTTATCATTACTTATATTTAATAAGTCAATGAATTTCAGTTAATATTATTGGCAAAAGACCACATATCTACTTGTGTTATACATCATTTTGAAGATACAAAAAAACCACACATTTTTCCCTTCTAGAAGTAATCACACAAACTTGTCCTTGGCTATTCATTTGAGTTTCTAGAAATTGTGGCACCATATGATGTAAAGGGAAAGGTCATATATAAAAATGTGGAACATAATTCAGTGTGTATGTATTAATATATCTTACACAAATTTCATTTCTAGACATTGTTCTCAAACTCACTATTTAGAGGTGAGAGTGGGAGAATGTCCCAAAAATGTAATGTAACTGTGAAATTATGGATATACTTTGTCAAATAAAAAAATTACTACATCAATGTAGCCTATTGTATTTAGTTTCCCTCTACACAAATTTTTAGTTTTTTTCACAATGCCATCCTTGAGAACAAGCAGAGACAACATCAGAGGCAGACTTGGAAGTTGGGGCTCAAAATTAGATGTTGCCTCTGTTCATTCTCAAAAATGGCATAGCGAAAAAATCTAAAAATCTGGTTGAAGCAGGACTACATACTACAGGTCACACTGATGTAGTATCCTTTAATTGCCGAACCTTTAGGTTTGGCTCCTTACAAAAATGTTCGTGGCATGTTGGTTTTGTCCAATTCTCACGGGGTACCATATATAGTAGTGGACTTCCAAATATATCCTGTCCGCACAACTCGGTCCAATTTCAGTTTTTACGTCAGTCTCTCCTTTGACCTCCGCCTCTTTTTACCTTGACACGACCTGATAAACCCGGTGCTAAAAAACCTTGAGCGCTTATCATGCATAATCATCTGCTAGGAATTTTTGAGTACGAAAAGAACAAATATGCTGCTCGTGATGCACACAATTTCCAATCAGCGAAAGCCTTTGCCAGCACTACCAGCCAACCTTTGAAATTTATCGCACACGCAGCTGTGGAGAAAGCAGAAAGCTCAGTAAAGGTAGTGCTGTTCAATCTGCCACAGGTTACCATACATACTAGCCTGTCTCCTGTACAGAAAAAAATCGCAACTCCGAAAAGCTTGGTCTCCCAAAAGGTAGTTCGGATACTTTGGTATCCGTCAATATGAGGAACGGAATAACAGAATGTAAGCCGTCTCTGCGACTGTTCAACTTCCCCTGACCCCAAACAGGAAGAGATTCAAAACATGAGAGTTGTCCCCGAACCAATGACTCAGTCTTTTAGTTCATCTTGCCAAATTCGGATCGTGTAAACTCAGTAAGTAGGAACCAACTTCCCTTGAAATCAGCATTTGCCTTGCGTAATTTGTAAGGCCATTTGCTGGATGTCTGTTGTGTCAATCTTGCAAGTATAGTTGTCAGTTCATTTA